GGAGTTTCCTTATTCTGGGAAGGCACACTGGAACAACCACGTTTTCAGGCTCCTCCTAAAGACTGCCAGAGTTGGGGCATGCCTGATGTCCTTGGGGAGTAAGTTCCAGAGTCGAGGGGCCACCACCGAAAATGCCCTCTCCCTCGTCCCCACCAATCGCACTTGCGATGGAGGTGGGAGCATGAGCAGGGCCTCTCCAGATGATTGAAGAGATCGTGTGGGATTGTATACAGAAATGTGGTCATGAAGGTAAGCGGGTCCCAAACCGTTTAGGGCTTTGTAGGTAAGAAACTGCACCTTTAATTGGGAACGGAAAATGAATGGCAGCCAGTGGAGCTCCTTAAACAGGAGGATTGACCACTCCCTGTAATTAAATATCTTTCCAAAGGTAACTTTGTTGTGTGATTTCAGTTTGTGGGTTCAGGGCTCAGAGTGTCATGCTTTCAAAAGACCACATGAGACACGGGCGGGTTGAAGGCAAAATCGTAGACTTTATTCTCAGTGGCCCGAGAGGATGTCGGTGAAGATGGCACTCTAAGGACAGACATACTCGCAACTGTGAATGCATGGGTTTCTTTATAGTACATTTGACAGAAAAGCAGAGCAGTACAAATAATTGGAATTACTGCACTGGTTCTAGGTCCTCCAATGGTCAGCTTCCATTGGAATTCAACCAATATTGTTCTTTTCCTTTTAAAATCCAATCTGGAAAGGAATTCTGTGAAACCTGAAGGTTTGTTTCCTGCTTTGCAAATTTCTTCCCTCGGCCAGTTCACTAAAGGGACACAGGATTATACTCATCACTTTGAATGGTTCTTGCAGGCACAAAAATGGATATAAAATCTTAAACAAACAAAGAAAGGGTGTTTCTTGCAAAAGAAAGAAGGTGTGGCTGTGAAATAGGGTGATTTGCAGAAATGAAAAACAGCAGAGAAATAAGGAGTCTTGGGACATAGACGTGATTTATTTTAGCACAAGTGTTTCGAGATTGCAGTCCACTTTTGCAGAAAAATTGGCAGGATGAAATATTACAGTCTCCAGCACAAAAGCATAAGTTACAAAATTGTGAGAGTGGGAGCAAAATGGTATACATTTAATCCCTATGACTACATGGCAGTGGAGGCTAAGGTTGCCAAGTGAAATAAGACACTGGACTCCTGTCTCTGGGAAAATCTACACTGAAGAATTAATGCAGTTTGACACCACTTCAGCTACCATGGCTCAATGCTTTGCAACCATGGGAGTTGTAGTTGACTTTGACTTCCTGCCAAAGAGTATGGTCATTTCAAACTAGAACTCCCAGGATTCTATAGCATTTAGTCATGGCAGTTAAAGTGGAGTTAAACTGCAATAATTCTATAGTGTAGATTCATCTTCTGTTGTGGATGTGTTGAATGAGGATTTTCAGCAGGTGTTGCCAGTGACACAGCCCATAAAGCAGTGGTTCTCAACCTTCCTAATGCCATGAGCTCCTAATACAATTACTCATGTTGTGCTGACCCCCCAACCATAACATTATTTTTGTTGCTATTTCATAACTGTAAGATTAGGGCAGTGGTTCTCAACCTTCCTAATGCCGTGACCCCTTAATAGTTCCTCATGTTGTGCTGGCCCCCAACCATAAAATGATTTTTATTGCTACTTCATAACTGTCATTTTGCTAATGTTATGAATTGTCGTGTAAATATCTGATATGCTGTTCCTCTGGAGGGGCGGAAGCTGTTCTGGGATTCTGGGAGGGTGTCTTCTGAGAGGGGCAGAAGGCGGTTTGCAAGGATTCTTGCGAGGATTTTCCCAGCGGAGGTTAGAAGGGAGATACCTCGATAGTTTCCGCAGTCTGTTCTTTCCCCTTTTTTGAAGAGGGTGATGATGGTGGCATCCTTGAAATCTGCTGGGATTTTCTGGTCACCCACACTTTTTCTATGAGCTGGTGGAGTTGTGTCAGCTCAGGTCCTCCCTCTTTAAAGATTTCAGCAGGGATCCCATCAGGTCTGCTGGCTTTGTTATTTTTTTGTTGGCTGATGGCATTGCTGACTTTTTCCAAACTAGGAAAGTAAGATTTATTATTTATTTATTTACTTTATTTGTATACCGCCGTTTCTCAGCCTAACCGGCGACTCAACGCGGTTTACAACAGGATAAAAACAGTCAACAATCTACAATTCAAAACAAAAGAGCACAGTACACAATATTACACAACAGCAACAACCCAATGCATCTCATAACTAGAGTCGTGATCCAAAATTCATCGTCCATATTTCAATTCCTGTGATGGATGGAAAATAAGGTTGGGGCAATAACACATCCTTGTTTGACACCGGATTCCACCTTAAATGGGTCACTTTGGGAGCCATTGCTGTCCAAGACTGTTGCCATCATGTCATCATGGAGGAGCCGCAGGATGTTCACAAATTTGCTTGGGCACAGTATTTTATTTATTTATTTGTCGTGTCAGGGCAACCAGTCAATTATATTACATTTCTAACAGAACAAAGGAAACAAACAGACAAAATACAAAAATTGTGACTTTGGTAGTTGATTAAATGTCCTTTGACGAGTATCTGGCCACTTGGAGTGCTTCTGGTTGCTGCAAGAAGGTCCTCCATTGTGCATGTGGCAGGGCTCAGGTTGCATTGCAGCAGGTGGTCAGTGGTTTGCTCCTCTCCGCACTCGCATGTCGAGGATTCCACTTTGTGGCCCCATTTCTGAAGGTTGGCTCTGCATCTCGTGGTGCCAGAGCGCAGTCTGTTCAGCGCCTTCCAAGTCGCCCAGTCCTCTGTGTGCCCAGGGGGGAGTCTCTCATTTGGTATTATTATTATTATTATTATTATTATTATTAAACTTTATTTGTACCCCGCTAGCATCTCCCGAAGGACTCGATGTGGCTTACAAAGGCCAAGGCCTCAACACACAATATAACAATACAAAACCTAAGGCAAATTAAAAACAATTAAAGCAATATAAACAACAAGCAATAAACAATACACCTAAGACACAATAAAACTGGGCCGGGCCAGAGTAATGGGTACAGGATTAAAAGTGCTGATGTGACAGGTGGTATATAAGGCATTATAGGGCAAGTGCAGTGTGCGGTGTGCAGCAATCTTAGTTCTAGTAAAGTGCTTATGGGACTTGGTATTGGAGATTCCTAATCTGGGAAGGCACATCGGAACAGCCAGGTCTTCAAGTTCTTTCTGAAGACTGCCAGGGTAGGGGCCTGTCTAAGATCTTTGGGGAGGGTGTTCCAGAGTCGGGGGGGCACCACAGAAAAGGCCCTGTCTCGAGTCCCCACCAAGCGCGCTTGCGACGCAGGCGGGATCACGAGCAGGGCCTCTCCAGATGACCGAAGTGAACGTGTGGGTTCGTAGACGGAGATGCAGTCACGCAGGTAGGGTGGTCCCAAACCGTTCAGGGCTTTGTAGGTAAGCACCTGCACCTTAAATTGGGCTCGGAAAATAAACGGCAGCCAGTGGAGCTCCTTGAACAGGAGGGTTGACCTCTCTCTGTAGGGAGCCCCAGTTAACATGCCCAGGGGGGAGTCTCTCATTTGGTATCAGCCATTGGTTGAGTTTCTGGGTTTGAGCCTGCCACTTTTGGACTCTCGCTTGCTGAGGTGTTCCAGCGAGTGTCTCTGTAGATCTTAGAAAACTATTTCTAGATTTAAGTCGTTGACGTGCTGGCTGATATCCAAACAGGAGATGAGCTGGAGATGTCTCTGCCTTGGTCCTTTCACTATTGGCTGCTACTTCCCGGCGGATGTCGGGTGGAGGGCACCAGTTATCATACTATTATCCCCAAACTCTAACCCAAACCCTAACGCTAAACCGTACCCAAACCCTAACCCCTGTTGTTCTTCATTCGTTCAGTCGTCTCCGACTCTTCGTGACCTCATGGACCAGCCCACGCCAGAGCTCCCTGTGCCGTCACCACCCCCAGCTCCTTCAAGGTCAGTCCAGTCACTTCAAGGATGCCATCCATCCATCTTGCCCTTGGTCGGCCCCTCTTCCTTTTGCCTTCCACTTTCCCCAGCATAATTGTCTTCTCTAGGCTTTGCCTGTCTCCTCATGATGTGGCCAAAGTACTTCAACTTTGTCTCTAGTATCCTTCCCTCCAATGAGCAGTCGGGCTTTATTTCCTGGAGGATGGACTGGTTGGATCTTCTCGCAGTCCAAGGCACTCTCAGGCACTTTCCTCCAACACCACAGCTCAAAAGCATCGATCTTCCTTCGCTCAGCCTTCCCTAAGGTCCAGCTCTCACATCCGTAGGTTACTACAGGGAATACCATGGCTTTGACTAGGCGGATCTTTGTTGCCAGTCTGATGTCTCGACTCTTCACTATTTTATCGAGACTGGACATTGCTCTCCTCCCAAGAAGTAAGCGTCTTCTGATTTCCTGGCTACAGTCTGCATCTGCAGTAATCTTTGCACCTAGAAATACAAAGTCTGTCACGGCCTCACGGTTTCTCCCTCTATTTTCCAGTTGTCAATCATTCTTGTTGCCATAATCTTGGTTTTTTTGATGTTTAGCTGCAACCCAGCTTTTGCGCTTTCTTCTTTCACCTTGATTAGAAGGCTCCTCAGCTCCTCCGCGCTTTCGGCCATCAGGGTGGTGTCATCTGCATATCTGAGGTTGTTAATGTTTCTTCCAGCAATTTTCACCCCAGCTTTGCATTCATCAAGCCCCGCACATCGCATGATGTGTTCTGCATACAAGTTAAACCCCTACCCATACCCTAACCATAACCCCCTAACCCAAACCCTAATCCTTGCCCTAAGCGTCTCCTCCTTTCTCTCCTTCCTTCGCTCTCCCCACTCTCACTCCGCTCCCTCTCTTCCCTTATTCACAGCCGCCTTTGCGGCATCTCCGTACGCTCGGAGCTTCCGGACCCAGCTGTCACCCTCTCCCCCATCTTTGTCCTTCTCATCCCGGCGTTGAAGGGAAGAGGTTCATCCTGAACTCCCCCGCCCCCCTCCAGGAGTGGAAGGAGGGGGCGTGGCTTGGCTTGGCCCCGCCCCAGCCGGGGAGACAATGCGATCCCAGCCCCGCGCTGAGCTTGCCATGGCGAAGGCGCGCCCCCCGCCTACTCCCTTGCCTTCCTCCTCCTCCTCCTGCTTGCTGCTGCTATTGGGGGTGAGCCCCTTTCCCTGAATCCGGGCGCCTCCAAAGGCTCTCTCCATCCTCATCTCCGCTTTGGGGGAGATCCTTTAAGGGACCCCTTCCCACCCCCCAAAAGTCCCCTCCCTTCGTTTTCTGGGGCAGCAGGAGCAGTGGATGGAATCGCCCTGGGCGAGGTAAGAAGGGGAGCAGGCTGGGAGAGGAGTCTGTGGATGGGAAAGGGGCGAAGAAGAGGGCTTGGGAAGCAAGCCAAGACCGGGAGGGCTTCTTGGTTGCGATCCTTCTAAAGAGGGGGTGTGTCTGTATGGGGGGGGGGGCTTGGACCCACACTTTGGAGACACTCACAGGAAGGAATTGGATCAGTCTTGTCTCTTCTTGGGAGGCATGCATAAGAAGGGAAGGGGGTAGAGAAGGGGGGTGGGTAGAGACAGGGCTAAGCAAGTCCCCATTGTGGAAAAGAATAAAGGCTGTATAAAATCCCACATTATCTGTTTTGAAGTGGAGTATATGGCAGTGTGGACTCAGATAACCCAGTTCAAAGTACATATTGTGGAACTGTCTGCCTTGATATTCTGGGTTATGTGGCTGTGTGGAAGGGCCCTAAGATTAGAAGATCTGGGAGGGATATGTGTGCCTTGTTCCTGAGTGAGGGGTGTGGGGAGGGGAAAGGGTCAATCTTGGGGGGTGTCTTTGGTGGAGGTCTCAGTTAACCTAGTTCAAAGCAGATATTGTGGGATTTTCTGCCTTGATATTCTGGGTTATGTGGGTGTGTGGAAGGGTCCCAAGATTAGAAGATCTGGGAGGGATGTGTGTGCCTTGTTCCTGAGTGGGGAGGGGAAAGGGTCAGTCTTGGGGGGTGTCTTTGGTGGAGGACCCAGATAACCCAGTTCAAAGCAGATATTGTGGGATTGTCTACCTTGATATTCTGGGTTATGTGGCTGTGTGGAAGGGTCCCAAGGTTAGAAGATCTGGGAGGGATGTGTGTGCCTTGTTCCTGAGTGGGGAGGGGAAAGGGCCAGTCTTGGGGGGTGTCTTTGGTGGAGGACCCAGATAACCCAGTTCAAAGCAGATATTGTGGGATTTTCTGCCTTGCTATTCTGGGTTATGTGACTGTGTGGAAGGGTCCCAAGATTAGAAGATCTGGGAGGGATGTGTGTGCCTTGTTCCTGAGTGGGGAGGGGAAAGGGTCAGTCTTGGGGGGTGTCTTTGGTGGAGGCCAGATAACCCAGTTCAAAGCAGATATTGTGGGATTGTCTACCTTGATATTCTGGGTAGTGAGGAGGGAAGCAAGGTTTATGGGGTCTAAGTAAAATCAGGGGTGCGTGGAATAGTATCTTAGTCCCAGATTATTTGGCAGTGCAGACTCGTACAATCCAATTTAAAGCAGAAAGCTTGGGATTGGGTCTTGGGATATAGGACCTGTCTAGAAGGGCCCAGAGAGGTGTATTAATTGTTCCTGGGGGGCATTCTACACAGCCCTATATCCTAGAACATCAAGGCAGAAAATCCCACAATATCTGCTTTGAACTGGGGTATTTGAGTCCATACTGCATATATTCCAGTTCAAAGCAGAAAATGTGGGATTTTATTCAGCTGTATGGAAGGGACCTGAGTCCACACTCAGATAATGTGAGATTTCCTGCCTTGATATTCTAGGATATAGAGCCCTATATATCCCAGAATATCAAGGCAGGAAATCTCACATTATCTGTGAGATTTATCAAGGCAGGAAATCTCACATTATCTGTGTGTGGAAGGGCCCTCATATAACCCAGTTCAAAGCATATATTGCAGGATTTTTTGCCCTGATATTCTGAGATATAGGGCTGTGTGAAAGGACCCTGAGTCCACACTGTCATATACCCCCAGTTCATAGCAGATAATGTGGGATTTTATTCAGCTGTGTGGAAGGGCCCCCAGAGTATCAAGGCAGATAATCCACAATATCTCCTTTGAGCTGGATTATCCAAGTCCACACTGCCATATAATCCAGTTCAATGTGGATTTTATACAGCTGTGTGGAAGTGTCCTGAAAGATCAAAAGCAATACTTATTTGGAGGTAATGTCCTTCTATCTGTTCCTCAGCAACATCCCTTCCTGAATGGAGCCCTAGGGTGCGGTTTGACACAACTTTAGTTGCCATGGCTCATGCTATGGAATAATTGGGGTTGGTGAGGCACCAGTTGCCTTTGGTAGAGGCTGCTGAAGACCTTGTAAAATTTGCTTACTTACTTAGGTGATCCCTCATTGTCCAAGTAAGATCATCCTCCAAGTTCAGTGTCCTGGCAGTGGGTACGTAGGTGACTGTGGAGCCCTATTCTTGACCTGCAAGTTCTCCTGCAGTGAGGGCATTGGTTTCCAGGTGGAAGGCAGTCTCGGTTGGGGTTGACTTGACATGCCTTCCTCTTGGCACGTTTCTCTCTTTCGCCCTCCATTTGTGCCTCTTCGAATTCTGCAGCACTGCTGGTCACAGCTGACCTCCAGTTAGAGTTCAAGGGCCAGGGCTTCCCAGTTCTCGGTGTCTATGCCATAGTTTTTAAGGTTGGCTTTGAGCCCATCTTTAAATCTCTTTTCCTGCCCACCAACATTCCTTTTTCCTTTCATGAGTTGGGAGTAGACAATTACTTTGGGAGACTGCGGTTGGGCATTTGGACAACGTGGCCAGTCCAGTGGAGTTAATGGCAGAGGACCATCACTTCAGTGCTAGTGGTCTTCACTTCTTCCATTTGTCCACCTGTCTTCCCAAGAGATTTGCAGGATTTTTCAGAGGCACGCTGATGGAATCATTCCAGGATTTGAGTGTGACGTCATAGATAGTCCACGTTTCACAGGCATATATAGCAGGGTTGGGAGGACAATAGCTTTATAAACAAGCATCTTGGTATCCCCTATGGATGTCCCAGTCCTCAAACACTCTGTGCTTCATTTGGAAAAATGCTGCACTCGCAGAGCTCAGGCGGTGTTGTATTTCAGTGTCAATGTGACTTTTGTGGAGAGGTGGCTGCCAAGGTAGCAGAAATGATCAACATTTTCTAATGTTACACCATTAAGCTGTATTTCTGGCATTGGAAATGGGTTGTTAGTGACTGCTGGAAGAGCCCTTTGGTTTTCTTGATGTTCAATGACAGGCCAAGCTTCTCGTATGCTTCTGCAAAGGTGTTTAGAAATCACTTGTAATATTACAACTCATAAGATTCTATCATATTGAGCCGTGGTCTCAAACTGCTTTCAAACTACATTCATTCCATCATGTAGATCAGGCATGGGCAAACTTTGGAATTCCAGGTGTTTTGGACTTCAACTCCCACAATGCCTAAAAGTCGGAAGGCCAAAGTTTGCCAATGCCTGATATAGATGCACCCTTAGTACACCCTTCTGGCTGGGATGCAGCTGGGAGATGCATACAAAAACATTGTCCCTCAAATAAGTATTTGTCCTTTATGAAATGTTCCTTCCACTCCAAATTTCTAGCTTTTTCAAAAACTAGAAACTGAAAATGGTTCATTCTTAGGATTTTTATATCCGCTGTGTTCCCGATCTTCCCCCTTTCATTGGCTGCCAATATTGTGTTTCTGTAATCTCATTTGAAGTGTTAAGTTATTACAATTCCAGAAATTTGGTGATTGGAGGAAAATGTCATTGTTGTTGTTGCGTTCCTTTAATATGTTGGCAATCCTAAGGCAGAGTTCATTAGGAGGCAGAATTCTTATTTTTAGTCTTGTTCTTGCTCCCTGCGGAGCTAACTCCTATTTTAACGCAAGCTGATTAACATGTAGTTTGGTGGATCACAACCTATGTCTTCAGGTACGCTGATGCTTGAATGGGATATTCAAGTCTCAGGTGGGGTTGCCAGAGTGACATCTGGAGAAGGCTCCAGTGCCTTTATTGGTTGGGTAGAAGAGGGAATTTCAACAGGTGTTTCTGGTTACCTGGTTGCATGACAAGCAAAACCTGTTTAAATGCCTTCTTCTACATACCTGTGAAAGATACGGGAGCTCTCACCAGCTTTCACTCTGGTAACACGAAATCTCAGGTAGACCATCAGCTTTCCACATTTGCGGGTTTGACTTCTACTAATTTGATTATGCACAGATTTGCTTCAGATGATCTCTCTAGAAGTCTTTAGCTCCTCTGGGGCATTTCTGTGATCAACTTCTCCAATGCACTGGTGAACTTAGAGATTCCTAGAGAGAAAGCCTCCTTAGGAATCTCTAGATCCTTTGGAGTGATTTTCTAGTTGGCTTATAGTAGAAGTTGACCATAGTCATGCTGGAGGTCTCAAAGATTCCTATGGAGGAACTGTCTCAGATAGAAAAAAAAAATCAGTTTTATACTTTCACAGGGTCCTGTGCCCCGAACCTTAGCAAATGTGGAGGTCTGACTGTGTGTGTATACAAGTACAGTGTTCCCTCGCTACTTTGCAGTTCGCTTATTGGACTCGCTGTTTTGCAGGTTTTTGCCTCCTGGACGATGGAGTATGGAAGGGGGTTTCACCCTCCCCCTTGGGAGAGAGGCAGCCAATCATAAAAAGAGAGAGAGAGGAGATACAAAGCAGTATGTAAATCACGGCCTTATAGCCCCTTCCTTATAGCTAGCAAAAAAAAAAAGAGCGGTGCCTTTAAATCTCTCCCTTGCTTCTGCCCACCCTTGGGATGTGATATATATATAGAGAGAGTCCCTATTTTGCGGATTTTCACTTTTCGCGGGTGGTCCTGAAACATAGCATCTGTGGTAAGTAGGGGAATACTGTACTGTATATGGGCATTAGCACAGCAGGTTAACCGCCAGCTGCAGTAAATCTTGCCAATTGAAGGGTTGACAGTTCGAAGCCCAGGTTGGGGTGAGCTCCTGACCTTTAGCCCAGCTTCTGCCTACCTAGCATTTGTGAGGAGTTGTGAGAGACCTCATGGGCCATCCAGTCCAATTCCCTGCCAAGAAGCAGGAAAATTGCATTCAAGGCACTTATAACAAAGTGACCTCTTGTTTTCAAACCTAGCAGTTTGAAAACAGCATGTGAGTAGATAAATAGGTACCGTTTTAAAACGGGGAGGTATTTAAGGCACCTATAAGGAAAGGCCAGAAAATGGCTGGTGATTTGATCAAGGAGGAAAATGGAGCAACAACCCCGCCCCACATCCCCATGGCAGGAACCGAACATCCTCCAAGATAGCAAGG